CCTGCATGTTTTAGATGTTTCCCTCTTCCAACACACCTGATTCAAATGATCATGATCGTTATCAGGCTTCTTCAGAGCTTGATGATGAGCTGATCATTTGAATCAGGTGTGTTGGAAGAGGGAAACATCTAAAACATGCAGGACTGTGGCTCTCGAGGACCAGGATTGGAGACCCCCTGCCCTAAAAAGAAAGAATCTTGTTCTTAATGTCTTTGCCTAGTTAAATAAAGGTTAAATAAAATAATTTTAAAAAACTCCCCTGTCAGAGGTACCCCAGCAACTGTTGCTGAAGTCAAAACATGCACAAAAGCTTGAACCTTCCTAATTTGAGCTGCAAGTTCCTGAGTTGGCTTACACATACACAGTCAACACATTAATTCGAAATACAGCCAGTTGAAATAAAGTAGGAGTTTTAACATGTTGAGCTCAAATGGAAGGTTCTTGCATGTGACAATAAGACCTGACAGGGAGTTCACACTGACAAACAACGTCAGGATCAGTCCACCCTGACAGTTCGAAGCTAAAAGAATAAATTAAGGTAACATTTTAGGGTATAGTTCTGTCCCTGCTGATTGATTCCACTTTTCATACATCCAGTCTTATTGCAGCTGCTGCCTCATCATATCCTATCACACTCAAGAGACTCCTCACATCAGAACAAATGCAACCAAACTTGTTTTTGGCCCCTGTCCACCTTCCAGCTGTAGCACACTGCAGGACAAAAGAACAAACTGACGCTCTGACTCCACCCTGCGAGTTTCACATATCTGGAAAAAAGATCTTACAGGATGTGATTCACTGTTGTCTGTTCGTCTTCTCACTTGTCTCGATTGTTGATCTTTTGTTTCTGATATTCATCCGGTATCAGGCTTTGTTTTTGTTGGAAAAGACCTCCCTTTAAACAGCTTTTAATAGTTTGACTCCTATTAGCTAAGCTTTTTACCAAATTTGAACTGAAATTTCTAGAAAATCTTCAAAAGAAAATGCCAAGTAATGGTTTTCCATCAACTACTGTTTCCAAATAGGTATAAATGTTTCACTTTCTATTTTTCTGTAGATAGTGCTTTGCACCCGAATGTTGTACCAATTTCTAGAAAATTGGCCTACTGTTAATACTGTGACAATAACAAAATTGGTTGATGAAGCGAACAGTTAGAGGAGTTCATCCAGCTGGCTGCAAACTGAAGACAGAAGAAGGATAACGTCATTAAAAGAGCTCAAGTCAAACCTCAAATGATGGAAAACATGATGGAAATCAGACACTTCTGTTTCTTTCATGTGTAAAAGTAGGTTGAGGGAGGTTCCAGATAATTTTCTTTTTATGCACACGTCAGTGCTTCCACTTCAGCTAAGCTTAAAAATGGTCTGATGTTATTTTCACCATTTACAGTCAGGTTACTGCATGTGCAAATGAAAAACGGTGCATAAAAACAGGTGGATGGAAGTACAGTCGTTGTGCATTGTTGTTTTTGGCACGTTTTTCTTTAATGTTACCTAACTGTTTGACTTATAAATAGTGTTCACATCAATACAGTTATAATCACTCCAACACATTAAACGTTATGTTAAATGTTTAACACAGATATAATTAATTAAATATAATAGTTAGAGATTGATGCTCCATTAAAAAAAAGAATGACCAGTTTGAGTTTATAGATGAAAATGTATTTCATGCTTAGTTAAGGTGCAGTCATTTAAGTTTTCTTAGTTGTAGTCAACAAAACTAAGATGTTTTAGTTTAGTTTTCCTCAGTCAGGGCTCCGGACTAGCAGCCCGAAATGTTTCACTGCACCTTTTGGTGCTGCAATAATACACGCCATAACGAAAATGAGGTGCTAAAAGACATGAGCACATCCAAATACACTTTGTAGTTCACTGTTGTAGCGACACAAGACTTAAATCATCATGAACAAATGTCACCAGTATATGCAGTACTCAACTTATACACACGTGGACAAAATTGTTGGTACCCTTGGTTTATGAAAGTCACAGAAATAACTTGAATCTGACAAAAGAAAGAATAAAACAAAATTCAATGAAAATAAACCAATGAAAATCAGACATTGCTTTTGAACCATGGTTCAACAGAATTATTTAAAAAAATAAACTCATGAAACAGGCCTACACACTACGCAGGGCTACACTTAGAGACAGACAACCAAGCACACTCACATTCACAGCTACGGACAATTTAGAATCACCAATTAACCTCAATATGTTTTTGTACTGTGTGGGAGGAAGCCAGAGAACCTGGAAAGAATCCACGCTGCACGGGGAGAACATGCAAGAACATATAAGCTCCACGCAGAAAGATCCCGGTGTCCCCACCGGGACACGAACCGGTGACCTTCTTGCTGGAAGGAAACAGTGCTATCAAATGCGTCACCTTGCAGCCCTACGCATTTTCTTTTCTTGCTTAAACAGATTGTCTGCATTGTTTCTTTTAACCATGATCATTCTGTAACATTAACTGCCTGTTTATTATGGCAAGCATGATAATAAAGGTCCTCTGGCACTAACAAATTACTGACTTCAACCATGCTCTTTCCCAAAACCCAGACCTACCAACCTGTATGCATTTTGCGTAGCAAAAGGTAGAAAACAAAAAAGTACACTACAATGATTTGTTACTGCAAAATACAAAAAAAGCTGGCGACAGCGTTTGACTTTGACAGATTTTGCAAAACTTAAGCCTATGCTTAAGAGGTTTTTTTGCCAGGTAAAAAAAAGTGATAATACTAACTAAGAGTTCACCCAATCATAGTCCCTGATACATTCCTTTTGCCTTCACCCACCTACAAGAAAAATATCTCCAAGCGCAAATGATTGACCAATGTCATGTCAAGAGGGATCTGTGAATTTCCTATAACACTCTTGACCTGCATTTAATCCCTTTCAGTCCTCCTTTTCACTCCAGCATGAGGTGATACTTCATGCGTGGCAAGTCTGTAAACCTCACCACGCCTGTACCATAGCCCTGTCACATCATGAGAGAGTCAGTTATTTACTAAACTGTGATTTATTGTTGCACACCTCCTGCGGCGGGTACACAGTAACTTGTTGAGTTAAACCCACATTTAATGTATTTTCAACCCTCTCATGTCAAAACCGAGTTTATCTTCGTGACAGTGAGGTCGGGACGCACATGTGCCGTGTCTCCCTGCAGACTGTCAACATAAGGTTGGTGTTATGCAACAAACGGTGACCCCACAGGATTCAGTTTCATACATTCAACCCCTGTGCTTCCTTCAGCACACACACAGAGGAATGGGTTGTGCTGTACAGTGAAATGTGAGCCTGTGGGTACAGCTGGGTGTGTGTTATGATGTGATGTTCTTGGCTGAAACAATGAAAACACAGCTTTTGCACCACCAGTTACAGGCTCTAATTACATCTGTGCTGCAGACTATATGTTTCCATCACTTCAGAGGACGCTAAAATGACTAACATTCTTTTCCTAAACCTAATCTTATCTTAACTTTAAAGCTTCCTCAATTTTAATGCGTGACAGTTTTCTGCTGTAGCTTTCTGCACTCCCTCAGACGTGTCAGTGTCGAAGCATTGCAGGGCCCCAGTTTACCATCCCCTGGGTCCTTTTCTGTTTGTTGTTACTTACAGATGTGACAGCTGTGGCTCCTCCCTCTGCATGATGTGATTCTTTCTCCTCATTGATCACAGATTTTCAAATGTTCTTCCTCTGATGCCGGTTTTTAAAGGTTGCTGGGAAACAACAATAACAAGAGTAAGACAGTTATGACAAAAGCATCCTTGAGCATGAAAGCTGACAAACTGAGTTTCAACTGTCTTTATGAGCAGATAAGGAACGCAAGTAACAAATATCATGTAAGCAAATCATGTTTTTATCAAAGCCAAAACAGACATTTTAAAAGAAAACTAAAATCATATCAATGACAAATAAACATGACTGTAACTAAAGACTGAAGTAAGAAAAAGTGGGGTTTTCCATTTCTGAAAACAGAGTGGATGTAGCTGAAGTTGGCCATGAAACAGATGCAAAAGTCAGGATTTTACTTTGCTCCATTAAAACTGAAAACTGCAAGAGAACATGAGCCTCTGGAATCAAATCCAGTATTGGATCTAATGGTTTATCACATACCTTGAGTTGCTAGCAACAAGTCACTAAGGCTGACTGAGACATATAATAAAATGATAGTAAACTATGTGATATTAATAATACCAAGCATGCATATGTTGTTGTCATTTTTCATATGTTCCAAACATTTATAGTTTATTAGTCAGGTCAGTCGGATATATTTCTTGTGTCTATGATCTTGTGTTGCAAACAGCTGCTGTCACTTCTCACAGTGACACCAAACCTAAATCTGTCAGAACAGTGATCACTATTCACAGTCACATACTCAGATACTCATGGCAGCCTGATTATTGTACAAAGCTCTACTGTTTTCAGTCTTTTTGTCTGAAATATCAGCCGAGCTCTGATTCTGAACAAATTGTAACGAGGTGCTAGGGTTGGGCGATGTAACTGAGAAGTCTGTCACAGGAGTACCGCTAGGAGTGCCTTGCTTTGTTGTATCTGATGGGTGACCAGTGTTGAGGCTGTTTTTACACGACAACAAGACTCCCAGGTGGCTGCAGACTATTGTGTACCAGAAGATGCACAGTAGCTGCAGGAGACCAACGGAGGCCAAAAGAACTCCATCATCAAGGTACAACAGGCTGTTTATGAGCCAGAGAGGGAGAACGCTTGGAATTGGTTCTTGGAATAGAACTGTGTTTTCACATTTATTGCATGGCAGTTTGTGTTTAATAGGTTTGGATGAAACTATTGGCCAGGATGATAAATCATTGTATTTTCCACGCCTGATTTTATATTTGGCTTCCATCCTATTTGAAGTATTCTCTCTGTGCTGCCATACACTGCTCCCAGTGCTCCTGCAACAACTGTAGTGCCCCTGGAAGTCCTTTTCTTTAACCTTATTCAGGACTTTCATGTTGCCATACGTAGAAGGTCTTTCGAGGTCCATTAGACCCCAACAAAGAATATGTCCAAAATATTTGTTGGTATTCATTATAGACTTTTATACTATTAAATATTTTTTTTCTGATAAGTTGTCATACCTTTGGTTCCAAATGCATGACAAATGTCCCTCTTTTTATATTGAAAAAAAATCTTCAAAAATAATAAACAAAACAATACCTGTCACCTAAACCAAATGGCCTGGGGTCCAAAAGACCTCAAAAGTCCTGAAAAGGATTAAGGCCATATGTGATGGACACTAAATCTGTTCCACTGCATCAAAACGGTGACCCTTTAACTTGAAGGGAGCAGGTATAAGGGTCAAATCTGCAGAGCATGGCAGGAGGAGAGTGACAATTGTGTTGTCACCAAAAAACTTGTGCGCAATCCCTGCACTGGGCACCCACATGCCACTGAACCTGCACCTTCTTTAGGTCTTGGAGGCTGCTGTGCATCCATTAAAAACTGAGGTTTGCTCTCTGGGTCAGAGCCCCAGACCCACCCCAGTGATGATCCTCCACATGAAGGTTAGGTCATAATTTGAAGTTCGCGCTATGTTAACATTTGAGGCCTATTGTGAAATCGCAAATGTGCATCAGCAAGCAGTCAGAACTGGACGTCCAGGAAGTGTTGTAAGTTAGGGAGGAGCAATAGCAGCAGTGCATCGCTGCACGAGTAGACTTGTGGCAAAATTTGGTTTGTCCATTGCTTTTGCTTTTATAGGTGCAATTTTGGAACATTTAATTTGTACCGCGTAGATGGAGAGCTTTTTGGAAATTGTGCCAGCTAAATGCTTACAGTTTGTAAGATCGTCTGGGTTCACTAGCTGGAAATTTGGACTGGATCATTACTTGTGTGCTTATAGCAGCAGTGTCAAAGCAGCTGAGGGACTATAAAGTTCCTCATCAATCCCAAATTCTTATATGATTATACAACTGGACGTATTTTGCTGTCATTGTCATGCTCTGGTTCTGCGTTGAAAAGATCGGAACAATGAGCAGCACATGAACTAACTCCTTGCTCATCAGGGGCCTCGGATTAATTTTCATCTGCAGAGTTGTTGTCATCAAAACTCTCCAACATCAAATAAAATCCTGCCGTGTTTTTGTTTTTGTGTTTTTATGTTGCCACGCTGAAAATAAGAAGAATATAATAAACATTTCCTCTTGTGGGACAGCAAAAATTGGAAATGAAGACTGTATGAAGCAATAATTATCTAAACCAGAAAAGTGATTTAGAGATGAGTGGCCCCTCACACCACAACAGAGGAGACACAAATGTACATGAGTCACGAACTGTATCAGGATCAGCTGGTGAATGACTCAGTGTGATTCCATACCAGACTTCTCCACATTTCAACAAACTTTTCATTGATTGGTGAGGGAGAGAGAGAGGGGGGAGAAACAGAGATAACAAGGGAGAAAGAGAGATGAATAAATGAAGAGAAAAGAGGAGAAAGAAACTTGTTAAACTATGTCTTTTCTTTTCATATATTTGTCTTTCTTTGATGATTTGTTTGTAATTCTTTTATCGTGTGTTGGAAGCGTCCTTCCGAAGATGTGCTGTCATTGCAGCACCAAAAAGTAACGTCTGTTTATGATTAGCACATTCTAACCAAGTAGCAATTAGACCCTAATTTCAACCAAACATTGACTAGAATATATAGTATCTTTCCACTGTAGGAATTCAGGGTGAGTTGGTGCTAACGTTTAGAAAAACGGCCCTGTAATTTACCTTTTCAGCCTTTGTTTCCATCCTGATGTGGTATCCAACAACACTAAATCGGAATGCATCAATGCAGTGACAAATAGAAGTTGCTGGATGTAACTCCAGTCCTGTCAGCATGAAGGAAAACGAACTTTAGAGGTTTGGTATTTTATCCTATATGGTGAATCTGATGTTAAAGATGACAATGTTAGAGAGAAGACTGCTACTGGACGAGGACAAATCGAGAGGGCAGAAAAAATGTACTTGAAGAGTTCATTTGCAAAAACAGATAATTCTATTTTTGTAGATTTTCAGAATTTTTTATTGTTGTTTGTTTGAGATAATATCAATCAAACTGAAGTTGAGTGGATCTGGTTCAGTAGAAATGACGTGACAAAAATAGGGATAACTTTAGTTTGATTGATATTGTCTCAAGTAGATGATGGAAAAGTGGGTTTTCTAAAGGTTTGAAGATGGAGTTATCTGTTTTTGCAAATGAACTCTTCACTTGCTGTCCTCTATAATCAGTCTTGATGCATGGACAGCAGTTTTTTACTCCTGAGAATGCACTTTTTTCTCCTCCTCAAAAGAACCCAGAAAGATTTTCTAGCAGCTGGAACATGCAAAATGGCTGGAGCACCCCGAAAACTGCCTGCAAGTTCCTGCAGGGCAAACTAGCTTATTGACTCGTGCCTAACATGCCTTTGGTCATCCAAGTGCCACCAAAACAACACCCAACAATGGATGAACACTATAAGCAGCTTTTAACTGGACTACAGTCCATGCTAGTCACCAGTGATAATTCAGGTGCAGTTGTTGCTGTCAGAAACCGTAAAAAAGAAAGCAACAACTGTTGGAAGTTGATGTTTGTGATCATGTTTTACTTTCAGTTCAATCAGGAAATTAACTCAATATAAATTTAAAATTATGATACTTCATCAAAACTACTATGTTAATCAATTAAAATCTCATTTAAAAAGTTCCTAAAATTAAAAAAGATCAATTCTCAGCACAATTGCGAAGCCATGACTGACTCAGCTGTGACCTACAGTCACGTGACAAAAGCCCAGACAGTTTTCAGGTCAGCTGCAGGCTGTATTTACACAGAGCAGAGAGGAAACAACAAGACTAACAGGAAAGTAGTGGACTAATAAAATAAATACAGCATGGCTCAAAACAGTAATCAGAAAAGCAAGTTGTCAGCAAATTTTGAAGATACATTCAGCATGGTGAAATACCTAGGTAATGTGATGTGATCTGAGTGGCATGAAAAACGGTTGGGTTTGTGAAGGTTGTCAAAATTTAAATGGTTGAATATCTATAGCATGTAGAGGCAGGCTTTATTCATGTACCCAAAATCCCCCATGGCACTTCAAGAACATGTTGTACATGTTCATTCCAGTGTTGTACAGTTAATGATCAACGAAATTCTGCTTTTTTTTCTTTAAATGATTTCTGGCTTCTGTGTCATACTGTATAGAAGACATTTTTGAGCTCTCTCTTCTTCTAGTCCTGGTTGTGCAGTTTCCACAGAGGTGCAGGACTTGACATTGCAATGAAAAATGAGCCCACAGTGAGTAAAAAAGGAAAAAAGAAGCTCAGAAACTGCTTGGGGTTCAGAGGGTAGATATACATATGGGGTTGTTTTGTTGTTTGTGTTCAGATAGACTTGCCATTATAAAGCTGAAGAGAGATAGAAAAAGAAAGAGGGAGAGAAGAGGAGGAGGAGGAAGAAAGAGATCAACATTGAGAATATGGTGAGTAAGAGGATTGGGGTGGGGGGGTGTTTGTTGTGCGTACCAGTCGGCGCAGTGTGCGAATTGTGGTGTGGGTATGTGTGTGTATTGATCTTTGTGTGGATCCTTTGGGCTGGGGATGTTGTGTTTGGCCCTCATTTTAGGACAGACTTTCAAATGGCTGTTTGTGGGTTAAATCGTGGTTTGTGTAAGTTCGGGTTGAAGCCAAATTAAGGGGCTCAGGGACCCATTATGTCAACAGCGTCCTCACAAAGATATAGGCCCATGCGAGTGTGTTTCAGTGTGAGTGTGTAGGGGAGGATCCTCTCCCTCTTAAAGCCGGGTCAGAAACACAGAGATCGGCAGAGCTGAGAGGCACTGAGGAGGGAACACACACTTACTTAAACACACACACCCACACACACAAAGACAACAGGCCTATTGTTCACACAGACACACACACATGCACGCACACACAAGTAATCACAGTTGTTGATCAGCCTAACACACACACTCTTTAACACGCACACTCTTTGCTGGACCCTGGATTGACCACTTGAGGATACATCCCGCAGCACTCCATTTCCCATCATGCACCAGCGGAGCCTCTCAAAGCTCCAGGGGGTCACCACCCAGCGGGGTGCCTTAACCCCATGGACTAGCCAGGACGGAGCCTCGTGGAGCTCCAGGCCGAGGAGGGAATCCGGTCGTTGTCGCTGCACGCCGAGGGGAGCTCCTCTGTGGGCATGGCTGCTCCTGGGGGCCCTGGTGGTTCCTGGAGCCTGGAGCTATTTGAGCGAGGAGCAGGAGGAGCTGCTGGTGGAGCTTCATAACCACTACAGAGGGCAGGTTTCACCCAGTGCCTCAGCCATGCTGCCTCTGGTAAGACGCCTGCGGGGCATTAACATCATCCCAAACTGCCATGAAGCAACATAAGGAGAGGGTTATTGATTTCACAAGCTAAATGTCAGATGTCACACTATCATCCACTGACATGACACTTCTGTCCTTGACGACAGCTGCAAAAAATGTAGGCAGGAGACGTATACGCCCCTGATTTTCTGTGTAATTTCAGTGTATATCGTCTTTTCACATAACAATTCTTTGTCAAAAGACACTGATCAATCAATTCCCTTCGATTGTTCGATTGGCCCTGGTTCTTTATTTTGCTATATCATTCTGCCGACTGTCTCGTATCCTGTAGAAATATGATTAAACTTACCTGTATGTTAACACAAGGTTTTAACAGTGCTATGTTTTGTGGTTTAAATTGTGTTTTAGAAGCTTTTAGAGGCTAAAAAGTAATTAAAAGCTTTGCTTGACATCGCAGAATGATGCTAACACAAGTTGTTTAGCGTTCAAGCAGGGTTTAGGAGGATTGTAATCCCTGATAGAAGGACAGCGTAATGACTTCTGGCCCACTTTGTTTTAGCTTGGGAGTGCTGTACATAAATTTTTCTCCAAACATCACATAAATACATCTACACACTTGGACAAAATTGTTGGTACCCCTCGGTTAATGAAAGAAAAACCCACAATGGTCACAGAAATAAATTGAATCTGACAAAAGTAATTATAATTTTTTTTTTATTTATTTTTTTTTTAATGATTGTACCCCTAGAAAAGACTATAAATAATGCGACCATAGGGACATGTTCAATCAAGGTGTGTCCTCTAATTAGCATCACAGGTGTCTACAAACTTGTAGTCTGTCAGTTGGCCTATTTATAGGGTTACAAGTTGTCACTGTGCTGTTTGGTGACATGGTGTGTACCACACTAAACATGGACCAGAGGAAGCAAAGGAGAGAGTTGTCTCAGGAGATTAGAAAGAAAAGTATATACAAGCATGTTAAAGGTAAAGGCTATAAGACCATCTCCAAGCAGCTTGATGTTCCTGTGACTACAGTTGCACATATTATTCAGAAATTTAAGATCCATGGGACTGTAGCCAACCTCCCTGGACGTGGCCGCAGGAGGAACATTGATAACAAATCGAAGAGACGGATAATACGAATCGTAACAAAAGAGCCCAGAACAACCTCTAAAGACATTAAAGGTGAACTCCAAGGTCAAGGTACATCAGTGTCAGATCGCACCATCTGTCATTGTTTGAGCCAAAGTGGACTTCATGGTAGACGACCAAGGAGGACACCATTGTTGAAAACAAATCATAAAAAAGCCAGACTGGAATTTGCCAAACTGCATGTTGACAAGCCACAAAGCTTCTGGGAGAATGTCCTTTGGACAGACAAGACAAAACTGGAATTTTTTGGCAAGGCACATCAGCTCTATGTTCACAGACAATGAAGCATATCAAGAAAAGAACACTGTCCCTACTGTGAAACATGGAGGAGGCTCTGTTATGTTCTGAGGCTGCTTTGCTGCATCTGGCACAGGGTGTCTTGAATCTGTGCAGGCTACAATGAAATCTCAAGACTATCAAGGTATTCTAGAGAGAAATGTGCTGCCCAGTGTGAGAAAGCTTGGTCTCAGTCGCAGGTCATGGGTCTTGCAACAGGATAATGAAAACCTGAGACAACTGGAGCGGTCTGCTCATGAGGAGTGGGCCAAAATGCTTGCTGAGATGTGCAAGTCTCGTTGACAGTTACAGAAATCGTTTGATTGCAGTGATTGCCTCAAAAGGTTTTGCAACAAATATTAAGTTCAGGGTACCATCATTTTTGTCCAGGCCTGTTTCATAAATTTATTTTTTTTAAATAATTCTGTGAAACCACAGTTCAAAAGCAATGTCTGATTTTAGTTGGTTAATTTTTATAGAATTTTTATTTATTATTACTTTTGTCAGATTCAAGTTTTTTCTGTGACTGTTGTGGGTTTTTCTTTCATTAACCGAGGGGTACCAACAATTTTTTCCATGTGTGTACATTAGAATACAATGCATATACATCATGCATTGTAGTGATAAAACAGTAAAGGTTTTCAACTGCCATTGTACAATGACGACAATGCAAGCCTAGTTTTTCAACCCCCATAAAAGAGGAACATTTTCGGATCTTTGTACATTTTGCAAGTAAAAAGTTTAGCTCGGGGCTGCAAGGCGGTGCAGTTGTTAGCGCTGTTGTCTCGCAGCAAGAAGGTCGCCAGTTCGCGTCCCAGTGGGGGCACCGGGATCTTTCTGTGAGGAGTTTGCATGTTTTCCCCGTGCAGCGTGGGTTCTCTCCGGGTTCTCCGGCTTCCTCCCACAAGGTCCAAAAACATGCTGAGGTTAATTGGTGATCCTAAATTGTCCGTAGGTGTGAATGTGAGTGTGCTTGGTTGTCTGACTCTAAGTGTAGCCCTGTGATAGACTGGGATAGTGTATAGATAGTGGATGGATGGAAGTTTAGCTCGAGAATAAGGTCATGATCATAACCCATCTAAAAAACATCAAATTAATGTATGTTCATTAGAATATAATCAATATATGCCACGTTTGTGTGCATAAAATTGCCATTCAACAGCTGAATGATGCTGAAGAAGTTGTATATTTGAGTTCAAATTGTGTTTAAGAGGCTTTTAACCCCTAAAAAAAACTAAATTGAAGGGCTTCTTTTCCATTTTTTATATTGAGATGGAAGTCTTGACCATAAACCCCCCAAAGACATCAAATAAATGCATGTACATTGGCATAAAATGATTAAAGGTTTTAATTGCCATTGTAGTATGACGCAAACATCAATTCCATCCTTATTCTGGTTGTAGGTCTTGACCATAAAACCTTCAAAACATCAAATAAATATTTGTACAGCAAATAGATGTCATGTTTTGCTGGCATCAAATGGTAGAAAGCTTCAATTACTGCTGTGGAAATATGGATTAGAATATAAACAGAAAGATCAATAAAACATTAAATCTCTGGACAAGATTTGCAGACTTCTTTGGTTCTGAACTATCTTTGAACTGTGTTGGAACTAAAAATAAAATCTACAACATGTAGCACACAACCTAACACACTGATAATGTGTTTTTGGCGGAGGAACTTGTGGTTTTGAGCAGTAAATATGTCACCACTCCTGTGTAGTCCGTAGTAAAGATGACTGTAAAATATCCAATCTGACATCTCACATGTATCTATATCTCCATGCAATGCAAGAGCAAACGATTATCTGTCTATGATTGCAGTAAGGGCTGGGTAGAAGTTGAAAAGTACCAGTTTGCACAATGCACTGATGAAATAGTTGTTTTGGAGGTGGAGTGAAAAGGTGAAACATTACAGAAAGGGAGGAGATATACTTTACATAAGACAGACCATCTTTCTAGACAACATTCATGATGTTGCACAATCCTCTGTAAGAGAAATTATTTTCCAATAGAACAAAATTCTTTTCCCAATTATATTTAGGCACAGTTTAACCACTTGTTAAATTGATCATCAGGAGGTGGTTATCATAAATCACAAATTTGCCTCAAGGGGCTTCACAGTCGGTTCAGGATGCAACACCCTCTGTCCATCAATTCAGATAAGGAAACTCCAAAAAACATCAGGGAGACAATCAGGGATAGGATACCTCTTCCAGGACACATGGACGGGAATTAAATGCAACATCATAGAACAACAATAGGCGGCATTTCACAGCAAGAACTCAAGTAGGTGCAACATGGCATTACAGGAACAGCCCCGAAATCAGCGCTTCAGCCTTTCTGTTGTCCATGGCATTAGCTCAACAGAACAATGGCAAATAGCAGTTACTGGATGTATTTCTGATTCTATAGGCACATAGGAAATTGAACAATGGGGGTTTGTTGGTGAATTTTCTGTTGTTGATAGTGATATTGGAGAGGAGAAGATTGCTACTAGGACATTGAGAGGACAGAGAATATGGCACTTGCTGGCTTCTCCAAGTTTGAGCAATACGGTCGTCAAGAAGTGTTGACCCTAGAGTTGGTATTTTGTTCTCATTTTTGTCCATTAAAAATGGGTCTACAGGTTGGTGTCTTGCAGTTGGAGCTCACGCGAAGGTCTGGGCCAACTTAAGATGGCTTGCAAGTTCTCGCAGTGGAAAATAGCCTGATAGAAACAGTGGTCATTAAAAAATTCTAAAATGTTCCATATGATGCACAAGATCAGGGAGGACGATTAGTAACCATCAGGCGTTGCCAAACAAACAAGAGACGTGAACGTCTGTTTCGGAACATCATCCCTCACTCCAATGTCGGAAAGATTTGGGCGGAGGCGGTGACAAGCAGCTCTCATGATGTAAAGTTTTTCCACTTTAAGGGAACAGCAGACGTTTTCAGTGACAGTGAGGTTCATGCTGAGTAATCCGCAGGCCTCAAGACAACACAGACTCATCATTGTGCTCTGAAAAACATGCTGCTGTTGAGTGTTACTAATCTGATTGTCTTGCATTGGCAGCAACAACAACCACTCAGTTTCATTGTATCAGGGTGAACTGATATCTCCAAATTTCAGCATGAAACGATGCTTTAGGTCCTGGAGGAATAATTCGCTGCTGAAAATAGTCCCCAACAAATATATCTTTTTTTCTCCTGTATGTATGATTTAAAAAAAAAACCTACAGTGGCTAGCTGTATTTATTTATTTTTAACTGACTATATATCAGATCTTTACTGTACTTGGAGATTAGAGCAACAGATGGAGCAGGGAAATAAGAAGGCAGAAATACAAGAAGAAGAAGAAAAGTAAGCAGCAGACAGCAGAGAGATGGGTTTAAAGTGATTGTAATCCCCTTCCCACAACTGTTAAGTCATATTGTTAAGTTTTGATGTTTTTCAACAAAATTTTGATCAATCCATAGATTGCGTGAAGAAAATGAACAAAAATCGACATGTATTTTTAACTAAAAAAGTGACACCTGTTACTAAAAATTCTACATGTTTTCCTTAATAACATATGCATGCACAAAACAAAAAAATCTG